AATAGAAAAAAATCAATCAATAATGACAGATTTTTTTGTAGTAGTAGAAGAACCATCTTACAAGGATTTCGAATAAATCTCATGACAGTTCTCAAACAAATAAGAACTAAAAACTGCTTCACAAAGATTTCCCTAATAATCCCTAGATAGTTTTCTTTGTTTTGAGTCTATTAAGTTAGAACTAAGAGCTTTACGAAGATCTTACAAAAATCCCATAATAGCTCTTTCTTTTTTTTAAAAAAAAAAAAAACCAATCGAAAGGATGATATTCGGGTTCCAACTAACTCAAAAAAACTCAAGGGGTATACCTAAGAGGTAAATTTTTAAGCTAGCAAGTGTCATATAGTATAATGCACCCAAGGTTCTACCCAAGGGATGAACATATATACTATATAGCTCCCTAGTTCCAGCCTCCCTTATATTCGATTCCATTAAATAAAAGAGATTGGCAGTACTTAAGACTTACCATATCACAAAACTATTTGAGCCTTACTCGCAAATAAGGAAATGAAACTTGATCTAATAGAACTAGAACACGAGAATACCTAGGCCAATCCCCCAATCCAGTATAAATACAAGAATGACCAAGAGAACCTTGTCCAGCTACCGCATTCGCCTCCCGAAAAATCTGAGATATTCTGTAAGAACATCTTCTCATTATCTCATGAATCTCCTTTATTGAAAAGTAGTACTTTCATGGAATCGAATTCAGAGAGCTAAGAAGGTCAAACAAAACCTTATTGTCTGTCTGGATGTCAACTATAGCCAAGCCCAATTGATCACATTTCCTTACTCCAAATAGAAGGCCTCCGAGCTGAAGCTATCACCGGCACCAAGATAACCGTGCTCCCCATACAGAAAAGAACCATCGTGATGTCTAATAGCAAAGCCATACCCAAAATCATCATTAATTGCCAAGCCATCAGAGTTCAGTACAAACCCTTCCTCGCGCAACGGCTTCCAACATATTGAAATGCAAGAACGCTTTTGAATTTTATGCAATCTTAACCCAAAATTCCTTTCAATAAAGTCCCTCTCCTCTACATTCTTAACCTTCAAATCATACACAAATAAAGCATCTCTAGCAGCATTGGTAACATCACGTATAATCCTTCCTTTTTCAAATGGTACCCCATCATAATAAACCTTGTTCCTCGCCTTCCAAACTTCCCAAAGAATAAAGGAAAGAATGATCTTAATCAAGGCTTGCTTAGCAAGCATAAAGCTACCTTTGTTCCACCATTTTTTAAAGTTATCAAACAAAGTGACAACATTTTCCAGCTTGATAGAAAATAAGTTCGCAAAATGGATCTATATGCATTTAACTTCCGAGCAACTAAAGAAACAATGAGCTATGCTTTCTTCGTTAATTCTGCAAAGCAAACAAATAGATGGACGAACCTGTATGCCAAAATAAGACAAAATCTCCGGAAAAGGCACCAATAAACTCCTGAGTTTCCAGACAAAGAACGATACTCTTAAAGGAATTAACTTATGCCAAAAGTTCCTAGCCCAAGAGTCTTCATGATTTCATCTTCTCGAATGCAAGTAGGCTGATTTAACTGAGAAATGACCGGAGGCGGAATGCTGCCAAATAAGTAAGTCGCGCTCACCATTCAGTGTGACCTCCATGTTGTGCAACACTTGCAACGTTCTCAAATCAAGAAATCCCTAGAAATCATTCAAGAGCTAGTCTTTATTAGCAAAAAAATCTTGAATAGTTAAAGAAGGCATTGGTGGCTGTTCCTCATTTGAAGCCCAAAGCAGACCATCCGGCGCCAATTATCAAACCAAAAAGCATGTCTCCTCCATGAATCAAGACCTTTGCATTCTTTGCTGCCTCTTGTTCGACTTTCAATACTCTATTCCAAGTAGTTTTCCTCCTAGCTGCACATGAAAGGGAAGAAATAAACTTACTCCACAAGCCATTCTGATGCTTAAAGTTCCACCAAAGCTTATAAGAAAAAGTTTGCACTACATCCTGAAATCGCCGGAGCCCTAACCCATTTCCGAGATAGGAAAAGTTAAACGCTCCCATGCTCTCCAATGCCTTCACTTGTCATCATTAGTGCCTTGCCACAAAAACCTTTGACACCTTCTTTTTTCCATTTGTTTAAGGACCGAAACAGGAGGGCTTATAGCAGAGAAGACATGAATGGGAATGGCAGCAAGCACATGTCTTAAAAGTATTAACCTTCTGCCCGTAGTTAAGAGCTTGTTTTTCCGATTAGCCAATCTTGACTCAAGAGAATCAAGTAGGAACTGAAATGTCGATGCCTTTTTCCTCCCTTGGAATAGTTTGCAACCTAAGTACATAAAGGGAAAAGATTCCTTTTGCATCCCCAAAGCCGTTGCAATAATTTCAACTTGTTGTGTGCGACATGATTCTGCAACTAGAAAGAAACTTTTTTGACGATTCATCCTTTGCCCCGATGCCACCTCATAATCATTATAGAAAGTATCCAGCACTTTAAGTGACCTCTTCTCTCCCCTTGTAAAAATTATCAAATCGTCGGCAAAACACAATTGAGAAATCCACAAAGAACCCGCAGGAGTTCCATACACAGCCAATTTTCTTTCTTGAGCCAATGAAGTTAAACGCCTCGTCATTGCCTCAGCCACTAGAATGAATAAATAAGGTGACAATGGATCACCTTGTTCTATACCACGAGATGCTTTGAAAAATCTGGTTGGAGAGCCATTAACCATCACCGAGAACCGACTCCCTTGAAGATTATTCATGATCAACAAAATGAACCCTTGCAGAAACCCTAACTTTCGTAGTACCTTTTCAAGGAAACTCCACGACACTTGGTCAAATGCTTTCATCATATCCACCTTGATAATCACATTATTCCCAACTACCTTATGAGTAACAAGTTGACATAGATCTTGTGCTAAAACCACATTATCTATGATATCGTGTCCCTCAAGAAAAGCATACTGTTCTTCGGAAATGATCTTTGGCAAAACCTTCTTCATTCTCTTTGTTAAGATTTTATTAAAAATCTTATTTAGAAAGGTGCATAGGCTGATAGGCCTAAAATCAGAAAAGGTGGTGAAGAATTGTTTCTTCGCAGCAAGGTTATCAATGTACTAGCAACAGCTCTTGGAATCGGTACTCCTCCCATAAATTCATTACAAGCTTGCAACAAATCTTGAGCAATGATATTCCAAAAGGATCTATAAAATGTACCACCAAAACCATCAATTCCGGGTGAACTATCCACACCAAGGCTGAAGATAGCATTCCAAACCTCATCCATTGTCACCATGCTCACTAACATCTCCTTGTCTGAATGATCAAGCTCATCATGAAGTAAATTCAAAAAAATTTTCTTGCTTCTCTCCTTGCTGCAATGGCACCGGCTCTTCAGTCAATAATTGCTGAAAAAAGTTAACCGCCTCACTCTCAAGGTCCCGTAGCTCCGTTAAGTTCCTACCATCCTCCGTTTGAATTTTTTGAATACCCATTTTCACCTTCTTTTCCGCTAGTGTCACATGGAAGAAAGATGAATTTGGATCACCTTCCTTTAACCACTTCAACCTCATTTTTTTCTTCCAAAAGTCTTCATGCTCCTTTAACTTTTGGAGAAAATAAGCATTAGCCACATTGAGGTTTATTCTATCATTCACATCGCCAGATTGATCATAAATAATCTCCAACTCTCTTACCTTCTCCTCTGCCTTCTTTAAGTTTTCAAACACATACTGAAATGTTCTTTGTTCCAAACTTTGAGCTTCATTTTCAGCCGGCGAAGTTTTGTTGAGAAGGCTAGCATTCCAAATCCTTGAACAAGCTGAGACCAACTTTCCTTCCCCACATCTATAAACTCCGGCCTCCTTAACCACATTTGTTGGAACCGAAAGCATCTTGGCCTACTTTCAACTTGAACATCAAATTGGAGGAGAAGAGGACAATGATAAGTTGTTCGACTTAGGTGTTCAATCAAAGATTTCCGAAACATATTAAACCATTCTTGGGAAAACAAGATGCGATCCAATCTCTTACGAACCCATCCCGTATTCCTTGTACCACCCCAAGTATACTCATCACCAATAGGAGGAACCTCATCAACTCACATGCTTCAATACAGAGATTAAACTCATCAATCGCACCATAATCTTGCACCAATGATCCCGAGTATTCCCCCAAAGAGCGAATTACACTAAAGTCACCCCCAACAACCCAAGGCAAAAGAGGATGCGCCTCTCTGAAATTCACCATACTAGACCAAAGGCACTGCCTATCAAATTTATTCGCCTTTGCATAAATTGATGACAACAAAAAGGTTTTTTGAAGCGGAATATAGCCAACCTCAAAATGCAGCACTTGTTCTGAGGCTTCCAACATATTAATTGTAAATAATCTACTACATAAGACCCAAATCTTGCTTGTGGGAAATGCAAAGTCTAGATCAAACCTCAGCTCTCTTTTTATTTCTTCCAATTTATGAAGCGGAAGCATTGGCTCAAGAATTACCACCAAAGAGACTTTATAAATCTGAATCATTGACTTGAAACGACATTGAGATGCCTGACTCTTTATTCCACGAATATTCCAAAAGATGAAACTAATCATTGGAAACTTGGAGGGGAGGATACTCTACTGAAGTCGAAGAGATCGCCTAACTCAGCACCCTCCACTTGTTTAATACGCTTTGATTTTGGCTTTCGACCTCGCTCCTTCTTAATGGAGCGTTCACCTCCATTATTTTCCACTATGTTATTGTCATGGATTTCTCCTTTAGACCATAATTCTCTTTCATCATTAACCTCTTCAATATCATGCTTTTCCACCACAAAAGAATCATCAGGGTAATGACCCAAACCAGCTTGCGGAATTGGAGCCAAGTTACGCATTTCTAATTCCATTATAGAATCAGTTTTTTTCAGGTGGCATCTCGTTTCCTATCACAATTTCCACAATTTCTTTTCTTTGTTTGTGCTGCTCATGATTATTCTCATCTATAAAAACATTCTCCACATCATCATCACTGTCACCGTCTTCCCAATCTTGAAGTATCAAGAATCTTCTCAGATTGGATTGGGAGCATAGCAGTTACATTGACAGTTTCTTCTCTGACCAGAGATGACTGAAGATCCATTGGAATCGCTTCTTTTTCTGTCGCTGTTAATCCAGAGGTGGATTCCATCCGGCGCACACAAGTACCTGATCCGCAGGGTGTGCAAGCAAAGAATTCATAGTTAGGGTTTCTTCCGCAGGGCACGCTCCAAGACGCGCAGCTAGGGTTTCTCCCTCAAGTTGCAATTCTGCGATTCTTCCAGCATCTGTTTGCGCAGCATCAACTTTCCCAAATCCTTTAACCACAAGAGGGTTCATATTAAGGATTTCCACTTCCAAAGCATCATTCTTTGACTCTCCAACTTTGAGCAGCCATTTTGGCTTAGCCGCTTTGATTTCGAGTCCTTTCTTCTTCGCGGCTGTTGCCACATGTTTTTCATCACCATTCTTCGGCTTCAAATGTTTCCCAACCCGACAATCCGCTTCTTTGTGCCCAATTTTACTACACCTCAAGCAATAAGATGAAATGTGCTTGAAAGTGAAGAATTGCTCATGCTTACAACCCTTTTTACAAATCTTGACAGACTTTGGTAATTCCTTGGTAAGATCCACTTCCACACAAAAGCGAGCCACCGAAGGACGAGTCATGTTCATTGTTGGGGTATCCACTTTTAAAGGCTGACCAAGAGCTGTAGCCATCAAATATATGACTTCTGGATTCATGAATTCAATAGGAAGATCATAGAGAGAAACCCAAATTGGGACTACCTGCGGATCTTCTTCAAATTAGAAACCGGGTTTCCGTTTCAACATTCGCATAGAGAATCCCCCAATATCTCAAAACGTATGTATCCAACACCTTTTGTAATCCTCCTCTTGCTCAAATCGGATCAATACATGCCTTGGGTTCATTAAACCTAGAGTATATCCCCCATTAAATTCAATTTTTTTGAATTCATTGTGGATCTCCTCCATTTTCGGTCGGCCATAGGAAAACTTCCCAACCAAACACAATCGGTGAGGAGCAATCAACTGTTCAAACTCATCATCTTCAAACTCCAAAGTTGGAGTACCGTTGATAAACTTGACTTGATTAATCAGCAAAGTCTTATTAGAAGCAACATCGGCTGGCTTCTGGAAAAAACTGGCAAAGGATCTAGGTGGCGCCGGATGCTCCACCGGTGGTTGAGCTCCGGCCATGGTGGCCGAATCTCCAAGGAGCTGTCGCAACTAGGGCTTTGGGTAGAGAGGAAAAGGGTATTCTGAGTAGCTTCCAAATTAAATGGTGGTGTAGATCCCATAATAGCTCTCGCATTGACTAATTGTTAATTAACTCCTCTAATCTACTCTAAGTAAAACTATCAAATGCGAAGAGATGGAAAGATTTTTTTATCTAAGCATAGCAAATCTCGCATAATGGCTGGGAGGTCAGTATAGTTGTCATATTCGACAGTGCTCCTGCTTGAGGCTTGTTTTGAAAGTGCATCTGCAAGAGCATTCATCTCTCCGAAGATATGCTCAATTCGGAAGCCTGTACGATTTAAAATGACCTTGATTTCTTTTGAGTAGAGCATGATATCTCCATGGTAGTCTTTTATCATTGCAAAGAATTTGCACCACTGTTGTATTGTCTTTTTGAACGGTGACTTTGTGGAGATTTTTGCCTTCACACCATTTAAGTTCATTTAGAATCCCTTCTATCTCTGCCAAAAAACTAATATGGCTTCCAATGAATTTACTTTCAGCTCTAATGAAACCTCCATGAGCCCCTGTAACAATGTAACCCCATCCTGCATTTCCAGGTGAGCCTAGAGCTGAGCCATCTTGAAAATGTATTCTCCTACATCCGGTGGTTTCCAACCTAGTTAATTTTCTTTTCCTTTGGCTCAAGTATTCTAACATTGAAGAGAATGTATTCTCGTTATTGTCCTTAACAAATCCATATTAGTAAATTTAATAAAAAGATAATAAACTGCTTCTCCTGGCGCAATTCTATGTGATACTTATGAATCCAAAATCTCATGAATGTAAATCCATTGAAATTTTTTGAAAACTAGTCATTTTTTCATCACTAGTTTCCAACTTCTGGTGGTTTTTGAAAACTAGTCATTTTTTTCATCACTAGTTTCCAACTTCTAGTAGTTTGTGATGTTCACATACTTCATCCTGACAAACAATATTTTTTTGGTATGACATGGTCAATCCACTTCAAGTGCTCAGTTTATATGAACATTATACTCTAATATATAATCCACTTGCTTCAGGAAGTCAAAAAAAATCTCTTTCAATCCTTTCATGAAATTGCTACTAGCTGAGAAATCTAATGCACGAAAAATTTATAATATATATATAGCTACTACAAGAGCACTTGGTTATATCCATTGTTACAAAACTAATATTGCATAAGTAAGTTTACACCATATAATATTCATGATAAATAATAAATTCATATGTTGTAAGATTATCTAATAGAAAGACAAACAAGAAAAAACTTATTGCACTCCCTGATCTATGGACCAAATCAGCTTATTGCACTCCCTTATCTACGGACTAAAATCTTCTCAGTTGGATAGATATTTGTACTAATAGCATATTATAAAATAAACTCAAATAATAAAGATATAAAATTGTAGAAAATGAATAAGTAGGGGGATAACAAGTAGAAGCAGAAAGACAGAATTGATCTATATATTATTCTGTAGAGAATTATCTCCTATTATAGACAAAAAAATACAAGGATAAAAGCTAATAAGGATAAGATCTTACTATGATAAGATATAACTAAATATTACCTCAGTATATTTGATTCCTTGTATAACTCTTCTGACTTGTGGATATTCACAACATTATATATATATATATATATATACATATAGTGAATTAATATGTAGCATGGTTACCTTTTTTTAGTATTTAATCCTTTCATCGAAACAAATATTAATGTAGACTTTTTGAAATTTTGAAAAATCTTAGTTTGTGACCACAACATGATTTATTATTGTGGGAAAAGAAAGTCTAACAGGGGAAGGTTAATCCGTACCGGAAAGAATTTATTTATTATTTTGGTACAATAAAATAAAATAGGCAAAAATTTGATGACATTAATTTAGAATATGCATCACAATTAACTCTGAATTAGCAAGAAATTGGGAGGTATTTCCTATTATTAGTGCACTTTACTTAACCAGTTTTTGGATTTTTGTTAGGTTGGGGTTTGATTGAAAAATTGCCGAAAAATTAAGGTCAAGGGAACAATTTGTGGGCGAGGCAAATGTTGCTGAGCTGGACGAAGAAGCACCTCTTTAGACAAGAAGCATCTTGCCATTAACGAGCATGTCCCCTCCAAGAAGCATGCTTGTCCCCCAGCCGAAATTTCAGCCTCCCCTGCTGATCAATGAGAGCAATACTGCCACTTCTGGAAGAAGAGAAGAAGAAAGCCAAGTTTGGATTCCAGGCTCAAGGCATTGGGAGGATTAAACAATTACAAGCATGGGGAGGCTCTCATGGTGAAAAGAATTGGCTGCAAGGCCCTATAAAAGAGGGAACTGCACTCTCAGAAGACATCGATATCTCTATCTCAATCTCTGGTTACCCTTTAGTTGCCGAAAACACACAGAAAAACTCCAGGTAGAAGGCAAGAAGGAAGAAGAAGTAGCAACAACTCAGTAAGGAAGCCAAGTTGAAGAGTAGCCAACCCAGTTTCTGCTTCAGTTCCATGAGTGAACCCTTTCACTCCCAGGAGTGGCTCAGAAACTGCACAAGCTTTTTTCTCGTCTCTTGACTGTTAGCTTAAACTTTGTTTATTATGCATACTTCTATGATGTCTGTTGATGTAGTAGATGTAGCATTAATCTGTCTGAGTAGCTAAAAAGTTTCCAGGGGTTATTCTCCTCAACTTATGTCGTAGTTGCAATGCACTGGTTTTGTTTCTTGTTTTAAGGTCGAAAGTTTTTCTACATTCATTTACTTGATCACTAAATTGAATGCATGCTAGAACTAAGGGAGATCTGGAAAGATAAACTTGGTTTGGATTGTTTCAACTTTAACTTATGACATAGAGGTAACAGTCTATGGTTTTAACTAAGATAGGAATATACTTAGTTAACATAAGCATTCTTGAAGGCCTAAGAACTTAATGACTTTGGATCTGGAATCAATCATTGGAAAATAGATTGTTAAGGTTGCAAGGATGACTCTAGGAAAAATGGGAACTGACTTAGAGTTATAAGTGAGCTGAATGAACAAGAGCTCAACCATTACAGTGCTAATAACAACTACAACAGTAAGAAGAGGAGAAGAACACTCCTGGCCTCCATTCCCCTGAGTGACTATTTCCATTCCCCTGAGTGACACCTTGTCTGATTGGTAGTCTTTCTTTACAACAAATTTGGTAATTAGCTGTCCTCGTGGGATCGACCTAGCTTCCATTATCTACAAAAATCATAATCCAAGCTAGTAATATTTTTGGTGAACTCGGCACGCACCAGAAAGTGGTGCCGTTGCTGGGGAAAGCGTAAAACCTCCAAAAAAATTTGTTGTTTTTGTTTGTTTGTACATATATAAAATTCTTCTCCGGTTACCTCGCTAAGCTTCCAGTTTCTTTTCTTTGGTGTATGACTAGAAGGCACCAACAAAGTGAACCTGTTTTTGACCCAGAAATTGAAGCTACCATACGTAGAAACAGAGCAGCAAGAAGTAGGCAGAACCGGTTGCAACAGGACAACCAAGAAGGTTCATCAGAAATGGCTAACCAAGGTGGTAACCTGGAGAACAATAGGAACCCTGGTGGGGATCAACAAAATCGAGCAGAGAGATTCCTTAGAGATTTCTTCATCCCACAGCAAGAAGAAGTCCAATCCCCTTTAGTGTTCCCTGATGTAGAAGCAACCAATTTTGAGCTCAAGCCACAGATGATCCAATGGACTCAATCAGCCTGCCCATTCCATGGATTACCTCATGAAGATCCTAATGATCACATTCGAAGTTTCCTGCGTTTATGCAGTACTTTTAAAATTCAAGGCTTATCTAATGATGACATTAGACTGAGGTTATTCCCTTTTACCTTGCAGGATCACGCCCAAGCATGGTTCAATACATTACCTAACAACTCTATTTCCACTTGGGAAGAGTTAAGACAGTGTTTCCTGACAAAATTCTTTCCACCCGCAAAACATGCACAACTCAGAACAGCAATAATGAACTTCAAGCAGCATGGAACAGAAACACTCTATGAAGCATGGGAAAGACTGAAGGAAATGATCAGGAAATGCCCTCAGCATGGTTTGGAAGAGCATCTTCAATCGAGCATCTTCTACAATGGATGCTACCAACTACAAGAGACTCCTTGATGCTGCAATGGTGGTGTATTTATGATGAAGCCGGTTGATGCAGCAAGGCGCTTGCTCGGCAATATGACCACCAACCATTCAAGATGGCAATCTGATCCAAGGACAAGTACAAAACAGCCAGGGGATGATGGAACTTGATCCCAGTACACACCGCAAGCACAAATGGTGTTATGATGAATGAAATGACTAAACTCGAAGTGAGTTGTCCAAATCCAAGGCTGAAGTGTGTATTATATGATGGATCCCACAGTTTGGATGACTGTCCCTCCAAAATGGAAGCATCCAGTTTGTCGAGACAGGCAATCTTTGGGGATTCAACAACTTCAGCGATTGGAGAAATCAACAGCAGCCTAATTGGAACAATGCACCACAACAAGGAAACTATCAGAGGCCTACTCAACCCCCAGGATTTCACAGACAAGATGGTCAACCTCCCAACTATCAGAATCAGCAACGTTCTAACCAGCAGTACATACCAAGGGAAGATGAATGGATTTCTGTGCAAAATGCAATCAAGAATTTGGCGGTGTCTTGCAAACGTTTGGAGAATCAGTTAGCCCAGATTGCAAAATGCTGAAAGACCATCTGGAAGCCTGCCCAGTGATACAGTTGTAAACCCCAAGGGGAATGACCAAGAGCAAGCAAAGGCTGTCACTCTTAGAAGTGGAAAGCAACTCAATCTGCCAAGTGAAAAAGTCACTCCCGTGAGTGACCCTGCATGTAAAAATGAAACATTTTCTGAGAAAATATCTGATAATGATGATGTGGTTGAACAAGAGCAAACAATTGAAAAACCTGGAATGGAGGAAATTCAATTCCCAGCACCAATTAAGGAACCTCAACAACCAGCTC